TAAAAGCCCCAAAGCCCTCAAGACCCAAGGAAATTAATTGCTAAGGGTGGAATACCAGGCATGGAGATGAGTCAGTGGGAAGTGTGGGAGAAGGAACACATTTCAGATGTCTGGGATGGGCCTTTACCACACACCCTATAGGCAGCAGGCATGCCAACTTGCAGAAGAAGTGTGACAATGTCTTAATAAATGTTATTTTTACTGTTGTAAAAGTACCCCTTTCCAAACACCTTCAAATTTGTGATTTTACCACTCCATACTCCATACCAGTAACATCTGAGTATGTAGCAGACTGCTTCAATGGCTACAGATCCTTCCACTCCTGTGTATTTGTCCCTTTGCAATGTGACTTTGCCCCTCCTTCCATCAAGGGTAGAGTCTAGCTCTCTGCCTTGAGGTTGGCTTGACCATGTGATTTGTTTTGGCCAATGGGACATTAGTAAAGGGATGCAATCAGAGGCTTGAGAAGCCCCAGCAAATCAGGGGCTGTCCTCTCTTCCAGCGCTGAGACTGTATTGTAAGGAGCCTGGACCTCCTCAAAGATAAAAATCCATGTGGACAGAGGCCCAGGGAGAGCTAGTTCTCAGCCTCAGAACTGTGATATGAGACTATCTTGGACTATCTATCCCCACCTGAGACCAACTGCCAGATGACTGCAACTCCTCAAGTGGCACCACGCAATTCCAGTGACCTCCAGAACATGAGCAAACCCGGTGGATGCTGCCTGGCAGGGAGGTTACTACCAAATGCATTTTACGGATGAGCAAAACTGAGGCTCAGAGAGCTAGTGAGACATGCCCAACATCACATGCCCAGCTTGGGACTATAACACAGGGCATTTAAGTCTGGGTCTCTGGTCAGGGTCCACCAGGCAAGGCCCTCTTACTTGCTCTCCATTCACGGTTGCCCTGAAACTAAATGAAGTGCCCAGAGGCCTTCACTAACTAATTGCTGTCAGAGATTTTTTTTTTTTTATCACTTTCGGAACAAGTAACTAGGTTCTTCTGATTGCACACCCTCTTTTCCCAGAGTGTGTAGGGCCTGGGGCTGCACAGGCAAGCAGAGGATGAGCAACCAGACTTAGGGTGGAGGTGTTTCCTTATTTCCTCCCTGTCTTCCTGCTGGGGAGCATTCCTCTCCCCCTGCTCCCCACATGGGCTCGAGCACCTGCAGGATGGCAAGGATGGTGATGGTCAGACAGGGCTATCAAAACCCCAGCAGCAGCCCTTCTGAAGGGATGCATTTCACATGTGGTATCTCAGCGGGTCTCTGGAAAAGCAGTAGCAGTGGCAGCACCAGCACAGAACACCCTATTTCTCTTATTTTGTCCATGGGGAAATGGGTACATTTTGATTTGCAAGCATCAGAGGGAAATTGTTCTGCACTTGTGCCCTGCTCAGAAGCACCTGCCTCTGCCTGGATCTCCGCTCTTCACTGTGCTTGCCACGTCGATGTCTGTGGGTGCTGTTGTCTGTCTTTCTTGTGTATCTGGAGTACAACAGGAAGCCCATACCCACCTTGCCTTCCTGGGGGCTTCCAGGGTGCCCTGCTCTGTGATCATGTACTTTGGGGCATCAGCCCTAAGCAGCTTGTCCTAAACAGCAAGTGGTACCCTGCCCTGCCTGGATGCCAACCTGGTGTACACCCATTTCCTTCGGCGAGCAGTGGACATGCATCTCTGCCTCCAGGGTTTCTTGCCGGGATTCTGCCAGTGAGCCTGGGGGCCAGCCGCTGTGAGTTGTAGAGGAAGAAGAAAGAAAGAGGGCCAAGCTCATCCTTGAGTCTGCCCTTTCAACCTCTCCAGATACTTAACCTCGTAGTGTCTGGGAAAGTAATGGGTTTAAAAAATGACACCAGGCCAGTGTCCATGCCAGGGAGCAGCAGAATGGGGTCTGTCCCCACCTGTGCCAGTACCAGGGGCCAGGAGCTGGGCAGGGAGCAGGACAGAGGGAAGGGCCAGTGCTGCCGGAGCTGCTACACTCATCCCTCATCTCTGGGAACCAGGTTTCCAAATGAGCCAGGTGTGGGAGGGAACACAAAGAAAGCCACGTTAGTCTTCGTTACCATCATACTTGCAAACTCATTCTCTCTTGACTAGCTCTCTCCTATCCCCAGGATGAAATCTGGAAAACCTGTGTGTCACTTCTCTTCTGTTCCGAGGGCTACCAGGCCCCAGCCATGCCTCTGTTTCTCATGTCCCTGCCTCCTCACTCTCTGGCTGCTGTCTGTGGCTCCCCACGGGGTTGGCACAAAGTCCTTCTTGACTCTTCTTTTGGGTGCCCACTGGGCTTGGCGGAGGTCCAAATGCTGACCCCGTTTCTATGGAAGTGCTTTTGGGGGTCTTTAGACCTTCCCACAGCTGTCTCTGCCCTCAGTTCCCTGGACAGAGGTGGTGGCACCCCAAGCTGGTGGCTTGTGACCACGCTTCTGGCCTGGCTTCTGGGGTTTATCCTTGTTGTCGGCAGAGTCCTCCTCCTGAAGACAGTCCATCTCAGGCCTCGTCCCAGGGTTCACTCCTGGTCCTCGGGAAGCATGCATTGCCCCTAGGACCCCATAACCCCCCATGGCTCTGAGGACCTGGGAGCTGGCCAGCCTCAGCCTTCGGAGCCTTGGGGCAGACATCAGGTACCGGTCTCTAAGGCCCTCAAGCCCCAGGGATGCCTCATATCTCTCAGCAAAATGTGAGGAGGGAAACCTCTTCCCTTTGCCCAGGGAAGACAGAGGCAAAATGCAGAGGTACTGATAACTCACTGAAAAAATGTCTCTCTTTTGGATTTCTGAACCCCAAGGGAAGGTGGGACCCCCATGGCAGGTGAGCCCTTCCTGAAGGGAAGAAACATACTGGTATTCTCTGCTAGCTTGACTGTATGAGAGCGATCCAGAACGAAGGGAAATGTACAAAGACTAAATGCTGGTGTCTCATGCATAGCACACACACGTTTACAAAAGTAACATGTCAGAACCAAAATGGCCTTGTTTCTAGCAGCTCCTTGCCTCCTTTTGGGATTTACCTGCTGCTCTGGGATCCAGGTGACCAATCAGAGCCCAAACACGGCCCTGTGGGCTACAGACATCAGGACAGACAACTCTGAGCTCTGGCCTGGGAGGGGGCATGGGGGCAGGATTTGAGCTCTTGGAACCATGAAAAATTCAGGAGAAACTAGCCATGAGGACTTGGACACCATCTTGAAGAGCATATCCTTGTTGTGGTCTGTGCAAATGGATAGCAAATGCAGGTATTCCCAAGGTCCTGGCAGGTGTCAGAGTCCCCACCTGCATTGAGTGTTCCACCCCTTTCCAACACCTTCCCTGATGGAAGAGATGCTGGTAGCTCATGTGATGCTTGTCTGCTCCTCAAACCTTCTGGTCCAAGTTGTAGTGGAGGGGACTAAAAAAAACCCCAAGGGATCCTGAGAGGAGGCAGGACATTTGGAGGTGTGTGATCACTGCAGTTGGGGTGGCAGGGCTCAGCAACACCAGAGCACTCTTCTTGTGAGCTGGGGAAAGTGAGTAGCTGCGCCAATGCCTTCTGTCTCTCCCCCATTTCCCCAAAGCTTAAGGGAACAACAGAGAACAACAGAGCTGCTGCCCATCACCAAGGAGGCCTCTCTGCAGTGGTCCTGCCCCGACCGAGTTGGCGAACCTGGGTCCCATGGGAGGGAGACACCAGACGCCCCACTCCTTCCACCCCCACTCAGCTCTGGGCCCTCCTGGGTTCCAGGGAGCAGGAGCGGAAGCTGAGGCCTGATCAGCTGTGTGACCATGGGCCAAGTGCCTCCTGGATGGGAGGACTCAGGGGACACAGTACATGGTGATGGCCACGTATTATTATTATTTTACCCCCCACCCCCTCACCCCCAAAGACACACTGGGCTAGAGTCAATCCACGTGCATCGACGGAGTGTCTTCCCCGTGAAGGGTGGCAGAGAGGCAACGATGAAAGGGATGCTAAGGAATTCTTCAGACACATCTCAGGCATGACTCAGCATGGAAAAGCAGAGTGTGGAGTTTTCAGGAATGGACTGAGTCTTCAGAATATGCCATTGTTGTCCCCATGCCCTAAATAAGATAGACTTTGGTGCAGACATGTGACACTGTTAAAATAAAGTGACAAAGCCACCCTGTGGGAATCGTGTTGATGGGTTTCCATACCAGAGGGCTCCTCTTTGAGGGTCCTTGATATAGTGCCCAGCCTGGGAAGCCCCCACACCTGGCTGCTGGTGGCTGAGGACCCCCAAGGTGGAGTTATGGGGCCAGGACATACTGCCAACATGGGCTCTCCACTGGGGTCTGATCCCTTCTGGGAACTTCTGTGTCAATGCTTGGGCTTTCTTATGTTTGCCTGAGACTTTTTCTACGGGTGACAACTTGGCTCTCGGCTTCCCTAAGTATGAACGAAGGCACACATGTGCCTTTCAACTGCTAGGGCTACAGGTTTGGTGGCTGCCTTGTTGGGCCACACGCTTTATTCTCATGCTGGGACATTTCAGTTGTGTCTGCAGGAACAAGCCACTCCCTGCAGGTGGACAGGAAGGCGCAGGGCACCTGTGGCGCTCACCTGGGAGCCGCTGCACTCACTTAATGACCTTTTGCTCTCAGCGTGACTTCTTGAAGCCAGAAATTAAATGGATACTTGGAAAAAGTATCCAAACCTGGCAGCTTGAGGCTTCTGAGCCTGGTGAGTGCAACAGCAGCGTGCAGGGCCTACCATGTCGCATGCCCCCTACAAAGGCTGACCGTCCAGCGAGTCCCCTTCCCACAGCAGCCTGCAATGGGGGAGGGGCGGCACTTGCAACCTCCGTCCCTCTACCTGCAAAACGCACGTGCAAGCTGTGTAAAATTTCCCCCAAATATCTGGCGGGGGTCCAGCCATGCCCCACAACTCTGCCCTGTGTCCCTGAGGAGAATCTAATGTCTGAAGGCGGGAACCTTTGTATCTCCTGTGCTGGGTGGCCAGGAGCTTAAGGTGAGCACCGGGGACGGTGAGGGGCCGCACTTACCCCCCGCCTGTGCCACCGTTCTTGCTGAAGTGCGTGCGTGGCTCGCTGGACGCCAATTTCAGCAGCTCCGTCCACTCCCGCTCCCATTCCTCCTCGGTGTACAGCAGCCCTGACTGGCACAATGGAAGCCGGCTCAGCGGGTGGTGGCCGGGCCTCCTTGCCCACCCCGTGCAGGTGAGCCTGGCAGCCCTGCCGGACCCCCGACCCCCCAGCTCAGTGCAAGCCCGACCAGCACCCAGGCTGGGCACACCTGCTAGTAGCCGCTGACTCTCCCCGTTTGCTCTCAACAACATTTCTTCAGAACCCCCAAATCTCCAATTTCAATGCTGTGGGGAGGGGTCCACCCAGCAGCAAGGGTCCTGACAGGGGGGTGTGAATGACCAGACGCTAATCTGCATACACCAAACTCGGCGCTGAGCACTGAGAAGTTTAAAGAGATGACGGGCCAACTTCAATCAGAAAGCAGGCAGATCCTTGTAGGACAGCAAAGTGATAACGTCCCCCATCATCAGGATGGCGGGATTCTCTTTGGACTGAGGACATACACAGGAGCGGGGCTGCAGGCTGTGCCAAAACCACCTTGCGGCTACACCCGGCCTTCAAGTCACCACCAGTTAGTGACCACACATAGGGGACTGTATAATTTGTCCTCAAGCCAGGACGCCTTTTGACAGGGAAGGTGGTTGGTTTTCATAATTATGCAAGGGCAGGCGGTGTGAGTAGACATATAGTCACTGTGTGCCAGGGGCTGAGCTTTTGTAATGGGCACCTCTTCAGTTGGTTTAAATGAGGGAGGCTTTCCTAGTCCCAGCAGCCATTGCTGTCAGATCTCACAAGACGGACTTGGCCTTGGAGCCCAGCTCTGGACTCCAGCCGTGGCCCATGGCTGCGCTTGGTATGGGTCTCGGGCTCTGGACACACCAGCGGGTACCAACCTCCTTGTTCTGCTGCGTCTGCTGCCACCTCCACCTCCGCTTTAGGGCTTCTCTTTCCGCTCCTGTCCTCATCATTGTATAGAGAGCTTTCCGCAACACCAGGTCCCGGTCGTGAAAGCCCCACATTCCTGCAGCAGGAGGCCCATGAGGAGCACAGGAGAGAGACAGGACATGAGGAGGGGACAAGCCAGGAGGCCACTAAAACCGCCAGACTTACCGGGCCCGGCCTCCCGCATCTGCACACACAAAGATGACGCATCAGTCAGCCATTCAGTTCTCACGGTTAGCTAGCCATTCCCTTCTGTTCTCTTTCCCCATTTCCCATTGAAGCAAGCTGCTGAATGAAGGAGTATGCCCCTTGCTCAGAGAAACCACAGTGGGCAAGATCACATGCTGCATCTCTCTGGGACCCTTGGCCAGCTACTTTCAATCTCTCAGATTTGCTTTGAGGGACCTAATGCTCACTGTCCAGCTCTTGTATTTGAGTGAGAGAGTCTCTGTGGATAAGCTGGTGACGTGTCCTCACATAGGGCCTCAAGCCAGGATGGTAATCAGACCCTGGCTTCATCTAGGCTTCACCTAGACATCTGATGTCTCAGCCCTAAGGCATCTCGACTTCCTCAGACACAGAGCATCAGTGGGAACCCCTGTAAACATCTGGACCCAAGGGAAAGTACCTGTTTTGGGGGGAGGTCTTTCTCCCTTACCCCTTCCCCAGCCTGTGCGGAGTGTTGAGGGGTTATAAGGGACACCAGCCATCTCTGAGTACATTCGTGGGACAGCTCAGATGTGGTCAAGAGACCCAACAAATGGAAGAAATAGGAATGAGAAGTGCAGGTCTGGCTATGGGGAAAGAACGGGGGAATCCATCCATCCATCCATCCATCCATCCATCCATCCATCCATCCATTTAATTAAATGGCATTAATTCCACTTAATTAATTCTAAAATTTCATAATAGGGGTGAGACACCATTCTCGGTTTTGGGAATACCCACAGCAGCAATCAGGACAGACTGAGTTCCTAAAATCTCACAGAGCGCACACTGAGGGAAGGGGAAGCAGCCACCAAAGTAGCACATGACATAGCTGTCAGGGGTAGAGCACCATACGGAGAGATAAAGCAGGACAGGGCGCTGGGTGGCAGTGCTCATGGCATGAATGGAGACAACAGGGTCTAGACTTGAGAGGGTGAAGGAGGGAGCTGAGTTGCCAGCCCAGGCAGAGGGGAAGGCCAGGGGTCAGCCCCAAGGGGCGCCCACGAGTCATACTAGAGAAACAGCAAGTAGGAAATGTGGCTGGAGGGAGGATCCAGGCGACAAGGTGGAGAGCGAAAAGGTGGACTTTTAAATGAGTTGGGAGCCTCTGGAGAGCTTTTAAAAGATGAGTGACCTGCACTGACCTAATCTTTAAAGACTCAGTCTGGCCACGCATCCTTTCGTGCAAAGATATGCAATAACCAGGGGCTGCTATGGGCTTTCCATCAAGTGAGGCTTTTGTCTTTTTTTACAACATAGATGAGGGAAGTGGCCATTCATGCTCCTTTTATTAACAGGCCAAGCTGATCTTACTCATCCCTCAGCCCTGCCTGCAGTGGCCTCTCGGGACTCTCCCAGGCACGGTAAGTCCAGCCTCAGTTCCCCTGGCTCCATGTTTGGGTCTCTCTTGCAGGAAGGGTCTCCTTGACCCATAAATGTTTGCATACAAGCCTGGCTCTACGATTACTGTCATTTCTGTGGGTGTCCCACAGCCCTAGGTCAAGAAGCATTGCTGGTCAGTGTGTTGCATGGCTCCTTTGATCGGTCAGGTCAAACAGCTAAACCCCATGAAAGGAAAACAAAGTCCCAGGAGAAAAGAACCCACTGGCAATGAGCTCCAGACTCCACTATGGCCTCGCTGGAGCAAGGCTGGCCCACAGGATGCTTTCTCTTCTCAGGCAGACGGGAGCCCCACTACACTCACTGGGAAAATGCCTGTCCTCAGACCAGACCATGGTGACATGCGGCCTGATTTTGGCTTTGCCCACCTGTAGTGGTGCACACTGCAGTTTCTGAAGGACAAAGGCATTTCCCTTTGTACGAGGCTGATGTGTGACACAGATGAGAGATTTCTTCTTTTATGTTCTTTCCAGGTTTTACACACCAACAAGGTGAAAATGTTCCACAATAGGGGACTACTTTATACATTATGATGAAATATGACACAACTACCAAAAACATGTTTTTGAAGAATAATAGCATGAGAAATTCACAATAGAATTTTAAGGGGAAAATGCTGGATTCCACACGGTGAACATTGTGCAATCATAATTTCACTGGAAGAGAAGGCAAAAGATAATATGCCAAAACATTAAAAGTGGCCATTCCTGGGTGGTGGGATTGTTGATGTTTATTTTCTTACCATGATGAATGTGAAACACTTTTGCAATGCCAACAAACAGAAATGTGTTCATTGTGAAATGGAAGGCAAGCAGGGAAGTGGGAGCCTTTGTGTTCCCCACCACCCATTGCCACGCCTGCAGAATGTGGAACGTTCCCCTTGCTCTGGGGCTCCATTCTCCCCCGAGGCTCTCAGGCCCCCTCCCAGACCCCATGCATTTCCCTCTGTGGGCTTTAGTCTCACCTCTGTCCACCTCTTGCTGAACAGGCCTCACTACAGGGCTGCAGAGAGGTTTGGGGTCCGGCCCTTGCTCTGGGTCCCAGCATCAACCATGTTTACCTGGGGAGGTGAGTTTGACCAACAAGGAATATTCTTGGTCAAACTCGCCAACTAAGAATACTCTTATCTTAGGGTCCCATCTGTGGAGAGAGACCCTTTATTCTAGGACTCATGAGGATAGCTGGCTCTGAGGCCTGGGTCCCTGGCACAAATCCAGTCCTGTCTGTCAAAACTGATTCGGCTATGTGTATAGAAGGATGGATCTAGAAGGAGTAATTGAGCTTCCAGAAAGTCTACCATGACCCCCATGACCTCTCAGTTATTCAAATAGTGCCAGAAATGCTTGTGCACCTGCTGGTATGGCTTTTTGCAGCCTGGAAGCTCACATCTCTGCGGAAGGTTGCTGACTTCCCTGCTGTATATTTGGACTATGCTGATTCGCCTGTGATTTACCCAAGTGATTTAGCCAACTATGTCTTTTTGTCAGTCCCCAGGTGATTCCCCTGTATCAACAATAAAAATCAACAATCCCACCACCCAGCAATGGCCACTTTTTAACGTTTGAGCATATTATCTTTTGCCTATCCTTCCAGTGAAATTATGATCTCACTATGTTCACAGTGTGGAATTCAGCTTTTTCTTCCTAAAATTCTACTCAACCTATGTCTTTTTCTCAGTACTCAAGTGATTCCCCTATGATTTACCCAAGTGACTGACTCAAAAACTATGTCTTTTTATCAGTCCAAGTGCATGGACTGCTATCAATGTGGTGGCCCCACACCATCCAACCTAAGGTACTGTTCCCCAAACTTCCTGTTCAAGTCCAACCAAGCTCAGCCCTGCTTCTAAAGATCCTGTTAATTCCTGCCTTCCTTCCATGGAGTCTCCCTACCTGGAATGTCTTCTTTTAAAGTCTTTTGAGTCCTTCAGATCTCACCTCCTCCAGGAAGTCCTCTACACTATAATCTCTAATTCCCATCCCTGCCGCTCATGATTAGGCCCCTTCTATTAGATCAGGTCTTTTCTCATGTGTGCTCTGTGTCCCCACCAAGCCTGTCAGCTGCTTGACCTGAAGGGCTAGATTGTTGGCTATATCCCCTGGGGACTCTTCCAGATGAGTGATGTGCATGGCTCTACTTAGCATATGTCTGCCCTTTAACTCATTATGAGCAGAACTGGCCTGGGGCGCTGCCACCCTGTCTCTGCTGCAGAGCTTACCCAGAGAGGCTGCGTGTAAAAGGCAGTTCCCGTCCCCTGTAGTGGCCAAAGGAAGAAGCCGTTTACAGCTCGTGCACACAGTGGACCACCAGTTCAGGCGACCTGGAACAGAAACTCACTTTAGAAGAGAATCTGAGAATAGATCATTATTAAGTGTTTCCTACGTAAGCATAAACAGCAGCAGATGATTTTTGAGAGGTTCTAGAGAACTTCAGTGGGAAGGTAGAGCATTATGGCTACTTTTAAATAAAATATAGATTTTTTTCTCTTCTAAAATAAGAAATGACCAAATCCTCCCATTAATTAGCAAGAGGATTAAGAAACCTAAGGGTGAAGGCTTTTCTCCTTGAATCTGGGACCATTTTACACAAAAAATAAAGTTTATCTTTGTGCAATCTCCTTGAACACGGTTTCCCCTTCTGGAAGTTATTTTTTTGTTTTGCATCATCCTTTTTTGATGCATACACACCTCCGAAAGTATGGTTTATGTTTAATTTAACAGATCAAAATCACTATAGCTACTTCGATATAGGCCTGTTAAATCTCATTAACACATCTTGAGACTTCTGCTTCCAGGAAGAGGGAGTAGACATACTTTCCCCTATTCTTTCTACTAAGTACAACTAAAAATCCTGGATATCACGTATAAAATAACACAGGAAGACTGAAAAGTGGAGAGAAGAGGCAGACTGACCAAGAAACTTGGGATCTGAGAAACAGCATGGTAGTCGGCTCCCTGGAATTTCTTTTTTGCCCCCAAATCCTAGACCAGGTACTGCAGAAGTTGGCAACCTGGAGACACCAATGGGGGTAGACAAAGGAATCATGCTCTCTCTAGACAGGATATCAGGAAAGGGGCAGCTTAGGAAGATAGACAATAACTGCTCTATTTCAGTGAAATGCCACAGGAGAAATTGTAGCTCATTATAAAACCTGCTGGCAGAGGTCAAGTGGGGAGCCACAACTTCCAGCCTTACCGGGCAGTAATGAGTCACTCACCACCCGCTCCCCCAGTGCCAGATGGTGTCAGAGAAAGCTGAGCACACAGCCGGTACTTCAACCCTGCTGGGTGGTAAGCTGGACTCCACCCCCTACCAACTGAGAACATATGGGGAGCCTGGCCTTTCCCACCCATCTGGTGGTAAGAAGGTCCCATGCTCCCTCCCAGCAGTACCAAGAGGCCCATTCCTCCACAGGTGTCCAACAGAGCAGAGTGGAGAACCTGGGCCTCCACCCTTATCTGGCAGTTATTACCAATCTAGAATTCCAGACCTCAGATGAACAGAAAGGGAGAATCCACCGGACCTGCAGTAGAGAATACTAAAAGGATTCAGTAAAGAATACTTCAGGGTGCACGAAAGTAATAAAGGGGCTTGAAAGGGCAAGTACGTTGGTAAATGTAAATAAATATTGGCTGTTTATTTTTTTAAAGATTTTATTTATTTATTTTGACAGAGAGAGGGAACACAAGCAGGGGGAGAGGGAGAGGGGGAAGCAGGCTTCCTGCCGAGCAGGGAGCCCGAAGTGGGGCTCGATCCCAGGACCCTGGGATCATGACCTGAGCCGAAGGCAGACGCTTAACGACTGAGCCACCCAGGCGCTCCCAATATTGGCTGTTTAAAGCAATATCAGAAATACCTTCTTGAGGATTAAAGTATATGTAGAATTAAAACACATGACAGCAATAACACAAAACATGGGAATGTGTAATAAATGACATAAGTCCAAAGATCCTTACATTGACCAGGAAGTGGTAAAAGTGCCACCTTATGGTAAATTCCAATAGCTCGAAGGTACATTTTGGAAACTGTAGAGAGTAACCACTAAAGGAATAATAAAAGAATGTATAACTGACAAGCTAGTAGAGGGGAAACCAGAATAATAAACATTCTTAAATAATTCAAAAGAATAAGAGAGGAAAAAAGAGACACAATAACACACAAAAAATAAACAGCAAGATAACAGATTTAAACCAAAATATACCAGTATTTATGTTAAATGTGAGTGAACTAAATACTTTAATTAAAAGACAGATTGCCAGCCTTGCTTAAAACAAGTATAAGCTGCTGACAGAAGACACCATAAATATAATGACACAGAAATTTAAACAGTAACTAGGTAGAGAAAGATACATTGTTCAAAAACTAAGCAAAAACAAAGTCGGTGAAGTCCTATCGCCATCAGATGAAGGGGAACAGGGTAAAGAGGGATACTTCATAATGATAACACAGTAAAGTCAAATGGAATATAACCATTCCGTGTCACGTGGAATATTTTCCAAAATTGACCACATAATGGGCCATAAAAACGTGTCAACAAATTTCAAAGGATTTGAAATCATTTACACTATGTCCTCTGGTCATACTAAAAATAAGCTAGAAATCAATGAGATAACCAAGAAAAGTAGTCAGCTTGGGCTGCTATAACAAAACACCACAGATTGGGTAGCTCAAACGACAGACATTTATTTCTCACAGTTGTGGAGGCTGGAAGTCCCAGATTGAAGTGCTGGCTGATTTGGTTCCTGGTGAGAACTCTCTTCTAGGTTTGCAGGGGGCCACCTTCTTGCTGTGTCCTCATACGGTGGACAGTGAGCTCTGTTCTCTTCCTCCTCTTATAAGGACACTAATCCCATCCCGGGGCCCCATCCTCATGATTTTATCTAAACTTAATTACCTTTCAAAGGCCCTACCACCAAATACCATCACACTAAGGATCAGGGTGCCCCCATATGGACTTGGGGGGACACAAACATTCAATCCATAACAGTAACCTTAAGACAGTTTGTTCACTGAATGTGGCTGTCCTCAAAAGCGACCATCCCCTCTCAACTGCTTCCTAGGTAATGAGCAAGATGAACAGGACTAGGGGTTATATAGACCTGTTTTGAAAATTCAATTCCTCCCTGGCCATTTCTGACCATGTTGCTTCTTTCTTGTCTGTCATGGCATCCCCAGGCTGGCCTGTTTAGCACACTCTGTGGGTGGTGGTTTAACCAAAAGGGAAGCTAGGAGATTCAGACTTAGTTATGGTTCAGTTTTGTAAAAACGATTTTGTCCCTTTAGGGCTGACCTTCGTGGACGAGAGGTCAAATTGTGATTAGGAAGTGATTGAGAACAAAGGGTAAGTTACAGGCACTGTGATGACAATTTTGTGAGGGAAGACAGGAAGCAACAACCCACATGTGGGGAAGGAACATCTTAGACCCCAGAACGTATCAGGGAGGTGGTACACTGATCATGTTTTATTTCTCAGGACCACCCAGTAGGCTTCCACAAGAAGAGAAATGCTCTCGTGGGATCTCCCAACGGCCGCACATGCTTCAAATGTAACTGTATCCTCTCCTATGCTCCAGAAGTGCCAGGTTTTCTGCCAGCATCCATGAAACCACAAAAGGCAAGTTTATTAGCTTTCAAGCAGAGTAAAATTTTGGACATCTCACAGTTCGTGGCGCAAAACAGAGTTTTTCCAGAAGCCTCCCTCGTGAAATACAAAGTTTATCTGGATGATAATCTTGCCAGGTAGAGTATTCTTGGTTGTAGGTTTTTTTTTCCTTTCAGTGCTTTGAATATATCATTGCACTGTATGGTCTTTGTGACATAGATTTTTAATTTGGGGAATGGAATATAATAGCCACCTCTTGGGGCCTTTAACTCTTTGTGGAATTTCAGTCAAATGAGAATGTTTATAATAGATATTTTCAAGAAGTTGTGAAAACATTTAATTGAATTTTTTTTTTTTTTAAGAAAGAGAATTATACTAATAGGACTGGAAAGTTGGAGGGGCATTGCATTACTTACATTCCAACAAGCCATCTGTCATTATTAAGAATTAATCTTAACAAAGGGTGTTACTGCTTTCGGTAATCAATAATGAAATATGAAGGGCAAGAACTACAATATTGCTGGAAGTTAAGGCCCTCAAAAGTACATTTAGTTCAGAGTTGGAGAGTTACTGTCTAACAGATTACCACATTAACAAAGCTTAATATAATAAACCGTGTCAGTAATGTGTTTGAACTGGATAACGATCTGTTCTACAGTGGCTTTTTGGTTAAGATTCAGTAACTGCATTTTAATGATAAGTGGTTTTACTAATATAACATAACTGTATCCTTAATTCTAAATGAAAACATGTATTGAAATTAACACTACAAAATGGACAAGCCTCTATTATTGATGATGCTAATGCTTATGCTAACAAATTGGTGTATTCTGACCGCTTGCAAGTCATCTTATTAAAGCTAAATGAGAAAGGCAATTAAGGGCCTTAATTGACTGTGCCCCTGGATCACCGGTCAGAGACATAACTGGAAATAACATGCCATCACTTGGTAACTTCTTTTTTTCTAGGTTGTGAAATAGCAACCCGTCTCACCTGACTTTTTCCAAGGCCTTTTAATAAACCTCCAGGCTGGGAGATATTAAAACTGGGTTGCCACAAAATGGAAGAAAAATGACAAGATTCTTGCTTACATGGCATAAGAGAGTAGCTGTAACACCTGAAAGCCCAACACATTTAATGTTCAAGTGGGATGGCCCTATGCATCCTCTGAAGCTGTTCCAAGAGCCAGCGGGTGCAGGGGTATGAATAGAGAAACAGGGGAAGGAATATGCTAATGAGAAGGTGATCTGCATTAATGGGCGGACCCTGTGGTTTGCCCATTTAATAGCTTTCCCCGCCCATCCTTGCTCACAGAACCCTGCTGTGACAAATTCCTTCCCTGCATTCCATGCTCCTTGCCAGGGACCAGTGTTGCTGTGACCACATACTGTCCCTTGACCCGTGGGGCAGCTACTGGAAAAGTGTTGTTCATCCTTCAAAAGGGACATAGACAGGGCCTCTCCCTTGCTTCCCTGGATGCTGTGTGAGGATGTGTCACCAGGTGCATCTCTAGCCACATTGCACCCTGAATGGAGGCAGCACTGACCTGTTGAAGATAGACAGGCAGAAAATTGGGTGTACCTGGGTCCGTGAAGACACAGGGAGCTGCCAGCCCTGTCATGAGCGTCCCTGTCCCCAGACCTCCTGTTCTGTGCAGTAATGACGGATTCACAGCTGATGGTCCTGCTGGCTGGGTGTTAGTGTTTCCTGCTCCCTGC